TTTTCGGCCCATGTGTACCCAGCCTAAGATGCAATAAAAAGATTAATAAAGGTGAAAACATACTTTTATTAAAAGAAAAACATGACAGTATATGATACACAATGCTCTAGCAAACTAAATGTCATTCACTTTGGATTATATCTTCTTTAATTTGGTGAAGGACATCTATGGTTACAGCATACACTTTCATTTTATAACATCAGCAGTGGATTAACAACACAAACAATAGTTATTTTTGACAATCCAAGCTTACTTGAAAAATCTTCTTTCATGTTGTTAGTGCTGCCTGTTTGGTCATCTCTTTTCCACAACTTCCTGGATTCCCTGCATGCTTTGCAGCTTCTCCTCTACTGTTTACTTTCAATTTCTAAGGAGTACATATCCCATGGTACTTTTCTGCTCGCAAGTTGTGATTCATGTACGACTCCGCCTCCTGAAACTTCTCCTTTCAGCACCTTTGTAGTTCAGAAGGCGGGCTCTATGACATGTGCGACACAGCAGTGCCTACTCATAGGGCATAGTGAATATGTGTCACAGAATTAAAGGAAGTAAATGTCTGGGATCTTTCACAAAGTAAGTTCACAAACTTTAGGATCCTTCAGACAGTAGGCTAGAAATAATTGAAATTCACTGTGGAAATGTATAAAAGAATTCACATTTTGACTATAGATGCGCTTTAAGGTCTAGTTGTCTACAACACTTACATCTATAAGTTTGAGAAACAGAAGAATTACTGTCAAATATTTCTTTGTTTCAGCTGGATGGATTCTGAAAGCCAGCAGAGATCCTGGCAGAGTTTGCACTGTGCTAAACAGATGAGCCCAAATCTTCTTCAACACAAATGAATTATTGACAACAACTTCTGACATGTTTTAGTATGCAGTTCAAAGTTCCAGCTGTCAAATTATGTCTGTAGAATTACTTACTTGTTAGAAAAGAGGAAACAAACAGAAACTTGGATGTATGAGCCTCCTTTCTGCTATTCATACTGCAATTTCTACCAGAGGTTTGAAAGAATCCTCACCTACAATTATATGTAGTGTTGTTACGTACACGGCATAGTTACACCTAATTAAAGTAAACCTTTCCATTTCCCAAGCATGTAAACATACTGGTACCTTCATAATCCACTCAGTCAGCTGCTTCACATTTACTCTTTCTTTACCTAAAATGTAGGGCTACAGCAGGCTAATCAGTGTTGTCAGTCATATGCCAGTTTCCACATTTTGCCAAAAGTTAAAGCTGAATTCTAGGTGTGATTTTATCCTGCTTGTACATATGCATATCTCACTCCTGAGCAATCGCTGTGGAAGCTGCAATCACTGTAGTAGTCAGTGCTACAGGAGGTCACTTATGCGGCACTGACCACGTTCTCAAAATGTATTGTTTTTTTTTTATATAGATAGAAGGTGTTCTCTGATTGGATGAGGTGGAGCTGTGACATCACGCCTGTAAGTAAGCACTTCTTTGTTAAAGATTTCAGAAAAGCCTGCCTTCTGAATTACAGCAGACCTACAAGATTGTTGACTACTACTATAGTGATTTTCAGCTTCTGGATTGAAATGTCAGGTATGAGATATACAAACTCACATTGCTCCAGCTGGACCAAGGTAACCATGTAATAAAAAAATCATACCTAGAGTTCATCTTTAAAGTGGTTTTAAACCCTTACATATACCCAGTGATGTGGCTAGCCTCCGGTGATAAAAGATATGAAACAAATTCTCCTACATATGTTTTACATGTTTATCCCCATTTTCTTTCTAAAACAACACAGACCAAAGATTATTAATATTATTATACAGGATTTATATAGCGCCAACGGTTTGCTCAGCGCTTTACATTATAGTGGGAAAAGATCAAATAATTTTCTTAGCTCTAGCAGGCAGAATGCTAGAATCTGATGTCACATAAACTGTAGAGCTAGAGCACAGAGCCTCATGAAATCTGATAGCTGAATGGAGGGAAGGAACACACCCCCCTCTTCACACACCCTCCTCTACACACTGACATAAAAAATATACAGAGCTGAGGCTAAGAGAGGGATGTGCTTTATTCATATTTCATGCCTGAGGTTTACAACCACTTTAACAGCAAATCCTTCATCTCCATCTCTAACCACCCCCTTTTAACATAGGCAGAGGAAATTATTCATACTACTTAGATAAAGAGGCAAGAAGGTAGCATGTATGTTTTTTCTGAGATATTAATCCCTGAATAAGTTGCTGTATTGTTCATATTTGCAGCAGTTACTGTAAATATTGGCAGTGGAAAAAGACTTTAGCCATGTTTCCACTGGTCCTGTTCACATGTCCTCCCTTCAGTCTCCCCACCTGGAACCCATACCATTGGTTAATTTAAGAGAACTGCTTAGTATGGCTGAAAGAATGTAACCTGATTCAAATCATGGGAGGATGTGTTGACTATTAGGTGAAAATTCAGAATTTTGATCTAACTACATGGAAGTCTACTGGGGTGAGTCTTGATAGTCATTTCTGGTTAGCTTGAGGGCTAACAATCAATAAATTGTGAATTAAAAGTGTGGAGACCTGATCACTGCTATAGTGGAGATATATCAATGTTTGCAAGACCAGGGCAGGGACAGCCTAAAAAGGGAAAAAATAAAAATTATTTTTAAAACAGTTAAAAACTAGAAAAATGAAAATGATAAAAAAGTTAATCTGTAACAAGTAGTTGAGACGGCTGATGGATGGCTGAATCTGGGTGGCCATCAGCACTTTCACCTACATCTTGCAAGGAATAATTTTTTTATTTTTGCATAGTGTCCCTATGGGGATAGTTGCGGCCTGAATCTTCATTCTTGCTTAAGGTAGTTCCCAGTTTCCATTGCCAATCTGCTTGTGTTTGCTTGACCATGTCAAGGACAGCCTTACAGGGCAATTTTTTTCTTCATTGCAAAGAAAAGGAAACCTACTTAATGTATGTCAAATCATATAATAGCAACTTTCCAACTGGAGTTTTATTTCCTGTCAGTTAAGTGTAGAGATACTGTAGATACAAGAAGCTATTTTTTTTCACTTCACTTTTTTCTAAAAACCTAAAAGAAGATAAAAATACTGTATATGAATGAGGCAGACTTCTGATGACTGTTTTTACATTAATATTTTCTAACAAAGATTTATTATAGTCAAAAAGTAGGAGACTGGACATCTCTACTTCTCACCACCAGCCCTGTAGTGCATATAGGCTGTAGTGCTTGTAGACAGGCTGTAAAAAAGCTGCAGGACACACATTAGCAGCATGAACATGTAAAATCTTTCCCTTCTCCCACCCACAGATTCCCCAACATTAGCAGTATTTTGCTACCTAAAGGATATCCAATAATGGTGTACATCTACTTTAGGAAACCAATGCCTGTGCAAATCAGCAGCACTTCCATGCTTTCTTTATCACAGTTAAATATGGTTGCTGGTACCCTTTAGTCCTCATGCACACTGGATGTTTTTACAGCTGCTGTTTTTGGCTTTTGGTGTTGTTTTCTATAGCCAGTAAACTCCCCAGCATGTTATTCTGTGTGTCCATGCACACATAGACTGTAATCAGTGTTTTTTGGCAGGGGCGTTTTTGGGCTGGAAAAAACCCCAGGACTAGTGGGTTTCTAGAGGAGTTTTTTAGCTGTAAAAATGCTCTAATGCTGAAAAACGCAGCAGACTGGCGTTTTTGGACTTTTTGGAGCAAAAAACGCAAAAAAATGCAAACACAGAAAAATGCCACAAAACACCACTAAATGCTAATGCAAAAACACTAAAAAATGCTGAACAACTCACATTTTTTATGTGACTTTACACAGCTAACCCTACCAGCGTTAATAAAATGTCCAATGTGCATTGAACCTTATACTGAAGTGGCTACTTATCCAAACCACCCCTTATTGGCCCTTCTAAGTTACCTGACCAAAGTTTAAAGGCCAGCAAATACATTATTGGATACTACAGCAGAAAAATTGATAATTAGTTTGTCTGATGCTTGAACCGCAAAAGGGCTTGGTTCACCTAAAACCTATACTTGACTCAAACCCAAACTTCATTCCTACTTCTGAAGAGTTCTGAAAGTGTTATCAATTGGAGCTATTCAACTTTCCCCTGCAGTCAGATCTCAGAAACCCAAAGCTATTTAGAGGATCTGCCTCAGAAGTGCTCAGCAGCCCTTTTAAGACAGGTGATGGGTGAGGTTTCCAAGCAGTTTAGCCTTGCCAGTCATTAAAGTTTGGCATGAGGATCTTTTTCCTCTTTCTGTCAGGAAGACATACAACCCAACAGTCCATGCCTACAAACATGTATGTTAACCATTAAATGCAAAGCATGGAGCATTTTCAGTGAGTCTAAGTTATTGTTTCTACTTTTGCAGCCAAAGTGGGATAATTCCTACAATATATTTGTTACATATCCCCATTCACATAGCATAACTTAAAAAAAAAGTTAAAATTTCAGCTTACCTTTTTAGATGCTCTTTTCTGAAAGCAAGGAGAAATTCTTCCTAATTCTCTTTGTTATGAGGGGGGCTGTCTAACTATCCCTGTCTGGAGGCAGATACTGTATCTCATCAGATGTACTAGGTTTGAACACTGTCTTAACGAAAGGTTAAGGAGCTGGGCTTCTCCCTTGTATGTTAATGAGGACTGGACTCAGCCATTCCTCAGTCTGGCTATTGAGAAAAAAACATATAGTGGGTTTTCTCAAATTTCACTGCAAAAGTGGAAATACACTTTAAAGAACAAGTATACTTTTAGTTCAGTTTTCCTTACTACCATTAAACATCCTCCCCCAGCACCCCCTTTGAGGTGTTTTTTTAATGTGTTAAAGCAGGGCTTAAAATTTCAAGTCCTGAGCTACTAGCCAGGCCTTAAGAGTTACTCGCCACCAACAAACCCACACAAACAGAGACACCTGTACACACACACAGACATGTACATACACACACACACACAGAAACATGTACACACACGCAGAGACACATGTACACACACATACAGACACATGTATACACACACAGACATGTATACACACAGATACATGTACATACACAGAAATACACATGCACAGACACATGTACATACATACACAGACACATGTACACACATGTACATGCACACACACACAGACACATGTACACACACACAGACACATGTACACACACGCATACATGTACACAGACGCAGACACATGTACAGATACACACATGTACATACACACAGACACATGTACATGCATACACAGACAAACACATACACCCCCCCCCATAAAAAGTTGCAGTACTTCGTTGTTCACTCACAGAGCCGGGTACTGCACTCTAGGGGGAGGCAGAGAGCACACCACACACTCCTTCCTTTGTTTTCACTGCGCTCAGCTTTTGAGCAGTCTGAAGGCTCCCAGTGCCAATGACAGATCCAGCCTGAGCTCCAAGCCTGCTCAGCAAGACGGTCTTGGGGGACACACTCGCCCAGACCATAATTTCCACTCGCCATAGGCGAGCAGGCGAGTAGAAATTTCAAGCCTGTAAAGCATGCTTGTTATACTCACTGTGGAACTTAAGGGTAGTTTATTTTTTCTTGGGAGAGTGCATGTGATCAGCACAGGGTTAATCAGCACTGTCCAGACAGAGGTAAGGGATTTTGCATGCTCCTAGAGCAGAAAGAAAACACCTCCTACAAGCTTTAACCAGTGCGCTACTGGACACTGATAGAAGTCACAAGACTGCTCTAACTGCTGATGAGAAAAAGGTATTTAGCTGTTTATATTTACTAAAATAATTGCACTTGCATGTTCTGCGTACTGTGGGACCAGATATAGAGAATGCAGGGTCCTGGTGTCTTGTACCAGATAGGAGACTAAATTGACAAGGTCGGCCGCACTTTTGTCACTAGCCCTGACCCCGCTGAGGTTGGAACAGAGGGAGTCTAGGGACCAGGGAGACAAGAGCACCTGAGGTGGTTGCTTGTGGCTCTTGCAGATGATGGCCTGAGAAGGCAGTGTATCCTCTGATTTGAGTATTGTAATAGCAGACAGAGCAGGTTCTGGATAATGCCTGATGTGCAGCAGAGCAGATAGGTAGCCAGGACACAGGACAGGAGCAGGGTCAAAGGAAGCTAAGGTCATCAACAGTCGGGCAGCAAGGTACAGAAACAATAGGAGAAGCCAAAGTCAGGAGCAGAGCCGAAGTCAGGAACCAGGAGCAGGAGAGCAATCAGAGTCGGGTCAGGAACAAGCCGGGTCAGCACCAAAGGAATCACACAGGAACAGCAGGACACAGGGGGAGGCTGAAGACCAGTCAGCAGTGAATCATCATTGAGGTGCTCCTTAAATAGCCCGCCCAGCGCTGACAGGCGCACCAGGGTCCTAGTGCCTGCCTGCCTGTATGCCTTGTCGGGATCCTGCGCCTGTGCAGATTCATGTGCTGCAGCGATCTTCTTGTTCCCTGACACCTGGGTTTAGTAACACTTTAAATGTAGAGTTTAACTATCTGCAGATCTAAAATTTTTATTCTACACATTATGCTCTTTCCGCATCTATATTTTATACTACCTATGAGAATATTTGTCTGAAGACTCCTCAAGGGAAGGAATTGAATTCAATTCTCTTTATCTGCAATTGACTGTTGTTAATTCCAATCTGGAAGAAGAACTTGGTGAGCAATTCTTGGACCAAGAATGGGACACTATGTGGGCCAATCTCAGGAAATGTACTATATATTTACCAATTAGAGAAACAACTCTTAAACCATTTACAAGATGGTACTAGTCTCTAGTAAAACTACATCCCATCTATCCACAAACCCCACAGTTCTGTTTCCATGGTTGCCCCCAAACAGGTTCTTTTTTACATATATTTTGGGAGTGTGAGAAATTTGGCAGGAGATTTTTAGTTTGATCACCACTTTGGTTGGTAAACAACACTTTAGGGGGTGATTAACTAAAACTGGAGAGTGCAAAAAATCTGGTGGAGCTCTACATAGAAAGCAATCAGTTTCCAGGTTTTTTTGTCAAAGCCTAATTGACTTAGCTGAAGTTAAAAGCTGATTGGCTACCATGCTTAGCTGCACTAGATTTTACATGCTCCAGTTTTAGCAATTTAACCCCTTTTGTGTTTCCATGCAATGGGCCTTTGCATACCATTGGAAATCTACTGAGGTTCCCTTTTCCCAAGTAATTTTTTCAGAATGGATGCCATTATGTTAATGTAACTTCTTTTTGTCATACTTTTATTTATTAAAAGATTGTACACAAAAAAATTTAATGATTAGTCACTAGGGGAAACTCGGTGGCTCATTGCTGTCACTCCCTGTTTGCTTAACAAATGATAGGATATCAGCCACTGGTGCAGTGTGCAGGATTCAAAGACTCAAATGACATATCCACAATACAGGTAGCCGGCAACTCGGGAAGCTTCTTAGTGTAAATCTTTATTGGTTACATGGACACAGGATACACAAATCTGTTGTGTTTCAGCTTCACAGAGCCTTCCACATAGCATATAAAACATTACTAAATCTCAGCATATATACTAATATTACGCACAAAGCTCTGATGTGGGAGTGAAGCAAATAAAAAGTAATTAGGATAATTACTGACACACGGAGAAAATGACTTATAGACTTGCATTGTAAAAAGGAGCAGTAATGCACAACCAGTATGTAGCTCTGTTAAGCAAAACCTGCATATGTGATGAGCAAATGTGGCTGCTCCTATGGACATATACAGTATACAAGCTATGCATAGAAGCAAGGTTTTTTAACCCACATTGGTAAGATTATTAATATCATACCAAGGTCTTCTACATGTTTTAAAAAAATTGCAACAACTACACATTCCCTTAAATAACGTGTGATCAAAATGAGGTCACAGTGTACACACTGTCCATTAAACCAAGTTATACTTGTACAACCACATAGGATAACAGGTCTCCTCTTTCCACAAGATCAATCTATCCATCCTTCAGAATGCAGTGTGCTACTTGTAAAATATCAATGATCTGCATACAGGTCTGAAATATTTGATATCTTATAAGATAAAGATTGCTTTCTGCAAAAGTGCAGATAACTACTCAATTGTGAAGACCTGTACGCATTTAGCAAGCATAATTCATGGCTGAAATCTTCAGGTCACTAATTCCCAGCTATGATCATCACACACTTAACAGCTGGCAGCATCTCAAAAGGATGGAAAACCATTATACCATACTGTGCTATGGTCAGAGTTTAATGTGCCTTAAAAATGAAATACATGTGCTTATTTCAATTTATGGAAGCATTGTTAAAATACAGACTACTAAAAACCGTATCAGGCTGTCAATGAGTAAAACAATGTTCTGTTCCAGTGTGGGTGAATAAACCATTAATTGTAAGGAAACAGGAGCATATAATGAGACTGGAGCCTTTATGACAAGAGGGACAGGAACAGTTTTCACATCAAAGGACAATATGAGGTGAAAAGCAGTTTATTCAGACGTGTGAAATTGTTTAGCTCTAATGGGAAATAAATTCTTAAATTTTCTGTCTTGATGTGCTATCACATATGAAACACATCACTCAATGAATCAGACCAATTTGTGAAGTCTTTTTCTTCTTTTCCCAGAAGAGCTGAGATTTCCTATTTTCTCCTTGCCATATGATGGGAAAACTACGCCGAGCTGACAATGTTAGGACAACCTATTTGTGCCATGCAATTGACCTGGTAATGAGCAATAGCATACAAAGCAGAGGAATAATTGAAGCCACAGGGCCATTTTGATGAACACCATATCTAATACAGAATTTCTTAAATGTCTGCTTAGTACTTTTAAAAAATGGATCCCCATTTCTGCTTTTTAAAAGTAAGATATATATATATATATATATATATATATATTTTTTTTTTTTTCCCCCTCAATAACCTTATTAAATGAAAATGCTGCTTTACCCCATTTAGAAGTTACCATAAGCTGGACAGTATATAGAAATACAGTAATTTTTAAATCCCATGGAGGTCCTGGTAAAGGTCCAAAAGTTCCTCTGTTGTTCTTGGGTACCCAGGATCCTGTTGCAGTTATACATTCTTTTTCCCAGCTGTGCATGAATCCCCTAAATTCAGTACCTTGTTATGGTTACAACATCCTCTTTCCATGCTGTGTTTGGTCCTTGTTAAAGTTGCACCTTCTCCTTCAGTTGTTGTGCTTGGTTCCCCTGAGTTCAGAGCTCTGTTACAGTTAGGGCTGTGATGCGTCAGTGATACTTCAATGATGCATTGGTGATGCTTCTTTGAAGCTTTAATGAAACTTAGCAGATGCCCTGTGTGTATGTTGAGTTTCTACTTGTTTTAAAGGGGCCCTGTAGAACCCCAGCTCAGTAGTACCCCCACTCAGCAGATTCCTAACTCCTTAGTACCCCTGTTCAGCATTGGTACCCTCTTTCAGCAGATCCCCAGCTTATTAGTAACCTCGCTCAGCAGATCCCCTGCTCAATAGTACGCTCAGCTTTGTTGATGCTCCACTCAGTAGTACATACAGCTCTGTTTATCCCCCACTCAATAGTAATCAGTAGCTCTTCTGATCCTCTGGTTTGCCGATTCTCTTCTCTCTCCAGTCCCCACTCACCTACTGATAAATTGCTGCCATGCTAAGCACCACATGTGACATTGTTAGTTTCTCCTGCTCTAGTCTGCCAGCTCTGCTGATCCTCTGCTGCTTAGTCCTCTCTCTGGTCCCCACTAATTTTCCACTATAGCATTCCCATGTTGCACACCATGTGTGCCATCTGCTAGTTTCTCCGCTCTAGTCCTGACCCAGCTCACCTTCCTGCTGCTCCATGCTGCTCACCAAATATGATGTCTACATCAGACACTTCCAGAATATATGCATGAACTGGAAGTGACTGCTGATGACGTCAGGTGCTGTAAGCGAGCTTTGTCATAGACTTTGGTGGAGGCTCTGAGGACACTTTGAAGCACTGTGAAAGCGATGTGGAGTATAATTTTTGAAGCAAAGCAAAGCAAAACAAAACAAACACAATGTGTGAACAGGACTGTAAGCTAACCATTTTATTTAGTGACAGGGACTTTGGCATTCAGAGTGCTTTAAAAAAGTGTGCCCAACGCCATATTTTGAAGCAAGTGTAAACGAGCCCTTTACATCTTCTCCTTTCACTTTTGTGCCCTTTAACAGTTGCATTTTCCCTTCCCCTGTTGTTCTTAAGTCCTCTAAGTTTATGGTCCTTATTACATTTATACTTTCTACGTTCTCCTTCCAAAAGAAAACATCCCCTTAAAGGCAAGTCTAAACTTTAAAAGCTAAGTTATAGTTGGAAAGAGATTTAATAGATGAAGTTAGATTAAGTATTACGGTTAGGAGAGGGATAGGATTAAAGCAGAGCTCCACCCAAAAGGGGAAGTTCCACTTCAAGTCTTTGTCCTCTGCTCCCCATGAAAAATTGGCACCTTTGGGGAGTGAATTTAACAGGTACCTGCTCCCACTTCTGCTTCAATCATCTAAGGCAATCAGAAGCGGAAGTTGTCCTCTCCCCTCCTCCCCGTAGTCTTCTGGG